AAATGAATGTCAAATAGTACATGTTCAGAGTCTGACCTTAGCAAAAACAACACCCCTCCATGCATACACGCAGACCCATAAACCACTTCTTCCATCGAGATAAACATAAATCACAAGCATAAGAATATAGTAGAAAGGTGCATAGTATGGGATTAATCTCAAGACAAGAAAATTGAGAATATTAGAAAATTATAATATAATGCATCGATACAATGTAAACAAAGTTGTATAACTCTCAAATGACATTAGATATCATGTCTTAGTGATTGGTAGTAGGTAATAATACTCAGAGTTATTTATAGAAGTCTTGTCAACCTCAAATGAAAGATCATTTCTCAATACTATTTTTTTCAGTACTGGAGATTGAAGCCAGGGCTTTCCCACTGAGCTTACATGCCCAGTTCCTTTTTTATCTATTATTTTGCTCAAACTTGCATTCCTCCTGCCTCAACCTCCCAGACTTCTGGAATTATAGATAAGTGCCACCTCACCCAGCCTCAACAACACCATGTTTACAGTGTACCAGGCACTGTTCTAAGGCATTCATGGAATTAATTCACTTAATATTCACAACAACCCTATAAAATCAACATAATTGTCACAAGTTTTAGATGAAGAAATGAGCACCAGAAAGGTTACAGTCGCAGAACCAGTAAATGACAAACAGATACTATTCCAGGCAGTTGCCTCTAGAAATCCAATCTTAATCACTACTTCTCTAAGAAACCAAGCAAAAAGTTAATTTCATTTTTTGGATCTAATTAAAAATACCTTTGAACATCTTTCTTCCAACAATTCTGAACTCTAATAGTAAAAGCAAAATTCATAAATAATGCAAATTAAGTAGGAAAGTCTCTGGGAGACAAGAAAATAACTTTTGACTTTAACATTACAATAGAGGAAATTTTTATAAGGGGACGAAGGAAGCAACAATAATTTTAAAAGCTCTTCGATGTTAGGGAGTCAATTCAAGGCTGTAATTAGCATAGGGGTTAATCTGTTCGTGCCTTAATCCAGGAAATCCTGAAGTCACAGAATGTACTCTTTGACATTTGCATAAATGTCAAGCATGTGTATGATACCAGCACACTGGTATTTGGCATTTGGTAGAAGGCACAGCTCTGTCTCTAGCATTTCATGTACATGTTTCAACAGGAACAAATAAGTAGAGCCATAAAAGTGAGCCTACTAAACACACTGATGAGGGGCTGGGGATTTAGCCAGTGGTTCTGCTGCTTGCCTTGCAAGCGTAAGGACCCAAGTTCGATCCCCAGTACCAAAACAAAACAAAACAAAACAAAAAGCCAAAGAAATAAATACACTGATGAGAAACCTGAACTTCAAGGAATAATAAACAGATCCAGAGCTCAATCTGCCCTAGTGTGTCTGCTCTGGCCCAAGGTTATGGCCAGTTTGAGGTGGAGCAGCATAATCTCCATGAGATGTGGAATAAGACCTTTAAAGGTGGATCCATACATTGTGACGAACCTTCATCATAATAATTTAAGAAATGAACACAAGCAAGAGCCAAATGGAGGTATGGTCTTATCTTCTGTGTTCTCAAAGGAGCCAAGTATAAGCATTCTTCTCTTACTGGATTAGGTTAGGATTATTTTTTATCACACTGATCTGTGATCAAAGATTTCTTATTTCTTTTATTCCAGGTCATATATACTGCCAAGCAGTATCCAGATATTAACTGCCATGTTCCTTCCTGCCTGGATCTGGAATCCTCAACAGAGCAAGTGGTCCAGGGCCTCTGGGATGGCTCAGTCTCCATCTGCAGGCTAGGACTTGGCAGCAACATCAGTCTATGAGGAAAAGGTTTTCGTATTTTATTACTTTCATCAGGACAGAAGTCATTTGCCAGACACTGAAGATATTCTCTCTTTCTCTCTCTTTCCCCCTCCTTCTCTCTCCTTTTCCCCTTCGCTCCTTTTCTCCCTTCCTCTCCCTCTCCTTCTCCATCTCTGTCTCTCTCCAAAAAATAAGAAAGCTCCAACATGAAATTTAGAGACATTACATTTTTTTCCAGCCTTGTTATAGACACAGCCTTACTCCTGGGGGCGGGGGGGAGCACAAGGGTCTCACACTGTTTTGAACTAGGGGAAAAATATACTAAAATTATCTTTAAACACTTTGAAAAAGTACCACTGTAAAGAATTCAGTAATTAATGTAAATTATGGGAAATTCCTGAGATATAAATGCTATAATTAATTTGGTTTTGGGAATGGGGCCATCAGCTCTGTCTGAAAAAACAAATTTTACCAAATGTTCATCATTAACTTGCTTTGTTTTTTTGTGTGTTAGTTGGTTTTTTTGATTGCTTGCTTTTTCCAGGGCTGGGGATCAAACTCAGGTCATCATATATGCTAGCAATTACGCTACCTCTAAGCTACATCCCCGACCCTCACTTAATGTTCCTATCTCAATCTATATTTTTAGTTCAATGTGAGTAATGCTGTAATCCATTATAATTGCCACATAAGATACTTGGTCAATATTTAGCCCAAGTCTTTCCCCCTTATTTTCCAAATACTTTGATTCACTATATTTTGCTCTAAAATACTTTGCACAATATATTTTATTATTTCATCTTAACTTTAAAAATTCAAGTCTTAGAGAAATATTGGCCACAAGATACAAACTTTGTGTTAGGAGGAGTAAGTTTCAGTGATCTATTATTATACCACATGGTGACTGTACTTAATGTATTTATTTGAAAATTGTTAAAAGAATAGATTTTAAATGTTCTCACCGTAAAGAAATGATAAGCATGTGAGGTGATGGATATGTTAATTCACTTGGTTTAATCATTCTACCATGTTATACATATTATGTCACATTATATTCCATATGTATACATATTTGTCAAATGAGATTAAGAAGAAATTAAAAATTTAAAAACTGAATTATCTTAAATGATAATGTTAAACCTTCTTCTCACTTAATTGGAGTTTGTGGAAGCTGGTTGGTGAAAATACTATCAGCAAAAATATCATTAACATTTATTTAGTTTACATGTGTACTTACAGAGCTAGGCACTTTACCCATATGATTGCATTTATAGTCATCACTATAAGTCCATAATTTAAAATTATCAATTCTATTCTACAAATGAGGAATGCAAAGACAAAAGAGAATAGTAAACTTAATCAAGATCACACAGTAAATTGCAGAGCCAATGAATAAACTCAATTCTCATACCCAAGTCTATTTTTTATAAGCACTAGGTTACAACACATTGACAGGAAAAATGGAAGTTGTACCATACTCCAATTGTGGAATAGCACTCACAATATTTTCCTTGGTTTTACAAAAAATAATATATAATAGATCCTCTAAATTAGTATGCTTTCTGTTTAGTGATATGACCACAGTTGTAGCTATGTGACAGTGTTATCTGATGAAAGGTGAAAAATTCAGGCAACCATCTAAGTACCTAGTGACTGGATAGAAAACACATATAAACAAAAAAGTGCTTGGATGACTCAAAAGATTTTACTTTGCACCTGGTTGTGTGATATCCTGGAATCACAGATTCAAATTCCAAACTACACAGCTCTAGAATTAAAGATGATGTTCTGTAGGACCTCAGAGATCATATTTTCTAATTTAAAAAAGAAGCACACAAACTGATAAATGTGTGCTTGTGGATGATAATAACAGAGTATGTTTAAAACCAGAACTACCAAGGAATCAGAAACTTCTACCTTTCATCCTTCTACCTTATCATCCATTGACCTTTTTCCTTTACAATGTATGAGGTGTGATTAAAAAATAAAGTGAGTGTTTAAATTTTAAAAATTTATTTCAGTAAAAGACACATTGCCATTAATACTCCTCAAAATACTTCCTCTTACTTCAAACACAGGTATCCTGCCATTCCTCTAACTTTCTGAAGCTGTTCTAGAAGTTCTTTTTTGTGGATGTCCTTAGTTATGCTGACATGGTTCCCTTGATTTCTTGAATGTCCTGAATTGATTCAAAATGTTTACCTTTCAAGGTCATTTTGACTTTAGAAAGAGCCATGGTCCCAGGGGCCCTGATTCTGGGAATAAGATGGATGAGGATGCAATAAATGTTTTCATGAGCCTACCTTTCTGTAGGCTGGCACTCGGCAGCAGCTTGTAAAATACTCATGAAAGAGAACTTCCAGAAAGAGGCAAGAAGGATGAAAAATGTGTGTTTGAAGTGAAAGGGATTAAAAAATATGTGTTTTACTGTATTTTTAAAAAATTTAAATATTCATCATATGTTTTGAATTGCCCCTTATATGTGTCAATGTAAGGGAGCAAGAGACCTCAATATAAAAAGACAATTACCTTTTTTGCCTACATAAATAAGGTCTTTGCAGGGATAATCAAATGTCATCTATGTAGAACCCAAATTGCTGTCTATGTTCTATTGACAGCCAAGTAGGAATCATTCCCTTTCAACAAATTCGAAGCAGCATGGAATGCTCTGCTCTGATGTTTCTCAGATTTTTTCTCATTCAGTCTCCTCATGACACACATCTCACTGAAGCAAGTATGGAGATTTTATTTAGAGATAACATTATTCAAGAGTAACCATGGAGACAGGTATAATTCCCATTATCCAAAACATTATCCAAATGAGCACTACAACAATTTGCTAGAATAAGTTTGAAAAGAACATGTTTATTCAGCATCACTATGGTAGCCACAGAGTTTTTGGTAATCATGAATTTATACTTAACTACTTATAACATCTGCTCAGTTCTCTTTTCTTTCCATCAGCACATATTTTTAGAAAAATTAACCAACCTATGGACTCATTATCTACTATTTAAATAGTTAAATACATGTTGTCATTTGATTTATGTCTCACCATGTTTTCACAGAGCAAATCTAACTACTTGGTTTCATCTACCATTACCTGTTTGGCATAAACATCCCATGCTACTAAATTCAGCAAAAGGAAACATTGCCTCCATGATCCCTTGAGAAATAAAATCAGAAATAATCCAATGAGGAACCTTACCGTTGATGTGCCAGAGGCACAGATGCAGGATTAGGAAGAGGACCCAAAACAATTTCCTAGTTCCAAGCATGGCAGCCAAAGTCTTCATTTCCCTGTACATATCAAGTGTGAAAAAAAAAATGCTCAAGCAGAAGGCTTCTTTCCTCCCCTGAGTTATTCAGAGTTAGATCAGGTTATCTACCCTGGCAGGATCTGAGAGATAAATAAAAAGGACAGTTGGTAAGAGAGGACAGTAGTCAGAGACTGATTTCCTTAAGAAATGTGAGACGACTCTTCTGTGGTTTTGCTTCTTGTTAAATTGGCTGTTCACTTTCAAACACTCATCTGCAGAGCAGCTCAGTCCTTAAGTTCTCCTTCCGCTCTGCTACCTTTCTGAGCCCTCCTTGAGGTCTTCTTCAAGATGAAATGAACAAGTAAGCTTTAAAGAAATCTAGATTGTTGCAAACCTTAGGTTGAGATTTTAATCAAATCAAGGTCAGGAAATTCATGGTGAAAGTACCTATGGTTAATAAACACACATTTCCCCCCTTTTCATAGCTTGTGATTATGAAACTTTTTAATGTAAAAGTTTAGACTTTTTCCCCCTAAACATCATATTAAAGTAAGACAGGAACAGTTATTATCATGAAAGCAATGAAGAGGTATGTGAGGTTATGGAGAAAATGAGTGACAGGATGTGTTTCCTCAACAGAAGAGGGAAGGACTTCTGTCTTTAATCTGTACATACACATCAATGGAACAAGATCACTGTTCCTACTACCTACATGTCCTTTCTAAATATTAAGGTTCTGACCAAAATGAGATCTTGAATATCAATTAAAGGAAACTTTCATTTTCAACAGTTTTTATGTAGTTAACAGCTGGATGAAGTAGAATAGAAACAGCAAAGGAAAAAAGGGAAAAGTACAAAATGAGATAATGCAGGGCCATAGGACTTCTCCAAAGCCACTTTTAATAATTAGCTTAGCTTCTAATCACAGGAGCTAATCAAATGCACCACCATTTGAGACTCCAAATAACAGATCTGGATTTATGGCTCTAGTGCAGTTGTCTTTTGCAAGTCTTTCTCTAAGAGTCTGGTAATATAATTTCAAGGCCCAAACTTCAGTGGTCTTTAGTACATTAGGTAAAAAAAATAGTCACCGTATATTCACTGATTTAAATACACAAGGTGCTATGGTTGGAGATACAAAAACAAGTAAGTTACTATTTCTAATTTTAAAGAACTCAGGATTGTAACTTCTTAACATCAGCATTTATTGCTAGCACTTAAATATCTGTGCATTTAGCCACCCATAGTGTAATATAGAGTACACACAATCTCTAGGACTTCCATAACTGACCAAGTAAATATTCTGGGATGTATCTGTGAAACATTTATACACTCCTTCCTTTTCCCATGCTCACAGGGGAGTGTAAACTTCCAGGAGTGGCTGAAGCAGGACTCATTTTCCCTTTCAAAAGGCACTAGAGGTCAAAACCCAAAATCATAGGTCACAGAGCTCAAGATATCACCCCAAACCAGAAAGGAGTCAACTTTATATATCTCAGTTTAAAAGCTGTATGGTTAACTATTGTGAGTTTTTGTTTTGATTTTTGCTATTTTGTTTTGCAGAACCATGAATGGACACAGAGAAGTCACACTAAGGTACATCCCCAATCTTTTTGAAAATTGTTTTGTTTTGAGACAGAATCTTGCTAAGTTGCCCAAGCTAGGCTAAAACTTGTGTCTCCTGCCACAGGCCCCAGAGTGCTGGGATTAAAGGGACATGTCACCATACACAACTAGGATTGTTTTTCATATAAAAGAGCACATGCAAATTAGATAAAATTTAGAAAAACCTTATGTAACAATCTAGTGTAATTTTAAAAGGATCTATACAATATTTTCATATTTTTATCAACATGCCTGGCTCTTGTTCTCTCCACAGTCAGAGTCCCAAGAGCCCTGCCCAGTGAAACCGTGCTTTAGAATCTAAGTCCTGTCTTTATTCTAGTAAAGAAAAATGGAAAGAAGCTTGGCATGGAGAGCATGCCTATAATCCTAACACTCTGGGAGGCTGAGGCAAGAGGATTACAAGTTCAAGGCCGGCCAATAAAATAATAATATAAAATGAAATGGGGTCAGGTTGTACCTTAGTGCAAAGGCCCTACATTCAATTGCTACTACCACAAGAAGAAGGAGGATGAGGAAGAGGAGGAGGAGAGAAAGGAGGAAGAAGAGGAGGAAGAGGGGAAGGGAGGAGGGGGAGAAGAGGAGGGAGGAGAACTGGGAGGAGGAGGGGTGAGAGGAAAGGAAGAAGAAGGGGAGGAGGAGGGGGAAGGGGGAAAAAGAAGAACTGAAAGAAGCCAAACTCAGAAGTTTGTCATCTCCATAACAAATAACAATCTTTATTAATCTTTATTAGCTCGGTAACAATCTTGCTTTAAGTTTATACCTTGCCTGGTAATTAAGCTTCCATTTTGCCACCTACCCCATCATAATCATGTAATGTTTGGTCATAAAATTATAGTTTCCATTTAAATGAGAAAATTTAAAGAGTTTATTGGATTCTTAGAAATGATTCCATTATGTATTAAAACAATTTTAAAAACAGAAACCCATTGTCAATTTTATGTTAAAAGACAAAAAACAAAATAGAACTTGGTATTTTCAAATTCTCTTTACAAACATCTCAGGAGTTACTTTGAGGACAAATTTTTCAGTTCACTTACAAGCTCAGTTACTTTCATGAATCATGAAGTAGCTGTACTTTCTGCAAGATTATTCCCCAAGTTGATCAAAGAACCCACAGTCATAAAGCAAGAAGTCCTTGCCAGTAATATTAGACAATAACAATCCCAGAGAGATGAGTCTTAGTCCTGATTTTTTTTAACTTCCTATATATCATGGCTTGGACTAGAAATGCAGTCTAGTATCTAGAACCTTTTCCACTCTTCCACTTGGTGACCTTCACTCACTAATGTCATAGTTAGCAGTGGTTTTTGTACATGACTATACTTTAGAATCAACCTGGGCTTGTTTTATAATATGAGTAGGATTTCTGGATACTACCTATACCAGTTGAATCAGAATCTCACAGATGTCCTCTGGATCCATAGGCCAGACATCCCTGTTTTTAAAAAAACTGTAAAGATGCTTCTAATAGAATGGCTTGAATGGATATTTGGAAATCAATTATGAGTTAATGAGGGCATGAACGTTTGAGTTACCAAAGATTCAGTATCAAATCCGTAGTACTTAGTGGTTGTAGAATTTTTATAGATTCTTGAAATACTCTGAGAGTGCACAGTAGAAACAGAGATGCACCACACAGATCCTCTTCAAGGATTTATTTGCTCTCCGCTGTGGAGAATGCAGTCAGCAGACAGCCTATGGGTATGAGTTCCTTCAGGGTCTCGCCAGTTGAGATCCATTTAGTCCAAAGACACAGTTTCACATGATAGCCTCATCCAGGGAGAGAGGAGGAAAAGTAAATGAAGAGCTGGCCATGTTGCCCTGACATGGAAGGCAGATGGGCAGTATTTGGTTCAGAGCTCCCAACCACGTTGCCTAAAGCTATGTAGGCCTGCATCACAATTTAATGTGTTCATCTACCCAATCCTGATTCTACTACCCTTCTTCTCACAGATTGTGATGCCTGCTTTCGGAGAGCCAAGCTGGTTCTATATATCAATTTCATCTCTTTAGAATGTCAGTTCACTGGGTTGCTACATGCAAAATGGTCAGTAAATTGCATCTAAAATTATTCTCAAGCCAAAGATTAACTTTTTTCTTTGGAGAAGATATATATCAAAAGGCCCTATATTAATGTGAGTAATTATAAAAAGTAATGATGGTAGAATAAGTTGAAAATTTCTATTCGCTGATGAGACTCATTACTGCACAGAGATTGAAACTTTAAAGTAAATGGCATAATAAATCTTTGATTACAGAGGACCAGGGCAGATCCAAGATGGTTTGAATCAGAAAATCATTCATAAGGATGAATCAGTCATGCAGAGAGAGGCCTCAAAACAAAGGGCAAGAAGAATTAGAGATCTGAGGACAAGAGTTCTACAAGGTGACCTACCCAATGGGATTATCCTTCAGGGAAAGGGCCCCTTGAGAGATATAGTCCCATACTGTGAAGTGTATGGAACTGATTCTAAAAGATGGCATGTAATAGCCTCAGCTGCAAAGTTTGAAAGGCCGAAGATGCCATAATTAAATGTACGCAGTTGAGGATGTAGCTCAATGGTAAAGAACATGCTTAGTATGTACAAGGCTCTGGATTTGGTCCCCAGAACCAAAACAAACAAACAGACAAGCAAAAAAGATACACACAGAGGACATCTTTGAAGGCCCTTCTCCACATATTCTCCTGAAGGTAGACGGTCTACATTTTTACTTAGCATGAGACATTCTGGAAGCTACTTAACCCCTTTAAATTCTATTATTTCATCTGTGAAAAAGAATTATAACACTTACCTGAGAGAATGCTATGAGTATTAAATAAGAGACATAACTAGCATTGTACATTTCAAGTTATATGTGCATCACCTACCTCACTACCTGTTACAAAACCAAGATCCTAGTAAATACATTTTTCTTTCTTTTCTCCCACTCAGGCAGAAAATTTGCAAATTCCTATATCCTGTTTTTATGTATCTTTGAAGCAGGATCACAGAGTTGGCTTTTCTTACATCCTGTTCCCCTGAGTGAATTATACTTGTTATATGTTTATATACTTGTGCCATGGCATATGTTCATCTCATTTACATATGCTTTCCTTGTAAAACCAAATTATAGATTGATTGTTTTGCAAATTGTTTTTTCTTCTAATTTTGTGGCTGTGGATGTGCTTTGACATATCTGCCATTTGGAATCTCAGCAAAATGTCAAGAAGCCATGAAATTCTTCTTATAGGAGGCCCTGGGGGAAGGGTTAAATGGAAAAGAAGACTATTACAGCTCAAGGATCTCTAATTACAGAGACTATAATTGAACAGGAGCCTTGGTTTCTGCACTCACTTGTGAGGAGGCCAAGCTTCCCAGCCAATGACTGAGCACTGCATATGGGATCTTCTGAGGAATGAATGGTCCTGGTTTAAGACCTCTCTTCTAATATCCTTGGCAAACTTTCTTTATTGAACATGGAAATCTAGCATCCTTCTATTCA